AAACCACCGGCCTAGCTTGAAATGATCGTTTCAAACTGCTAAGAGTCCTAAATTACAAAGTGAATTGAACCGAATTAACAAGCCGCTGACCATCTAGCATCTCTGCGGTGGGTTCCTGCGGTCAGAAACGACTGCTGGTGCGATTCGCAGGGGCTGCAGCCCGGCGGTTGCGTCCGGACCAGCTTGCCCATTTCTCTTCCCTTCGCTTGTAAGGGAAAGGTGCCAAGAACAACGCGAGACGTTGCGTGGGCACGGCCAGACCGAAACTGGGGAGAGGCACGGCCTCATCTTGCTGCTGCCGGCCCCAGCAGTTCCAGAGGATTTACAGCTCGTCACATCCCTCTTCTGCTTTCAATCCTGCAATCTTGTCTTGATTGCTCTGTCGGGACCTTGAGGACTTTTCCTCAGCTGGAAGCATGAGCCCAGGCTGTGACCGTGCTACTGATGATTTATACATCACTGCACTTGAGGAGTTATTTTTATATTTGATTTTGCAGCCACTAGTGGGTCTGTGAAATCCTGGTTTTTATAGTGCGAGTGCTTTACCTGGCAATAAAACACAAGAAATGAGAGCACAAAAGGTCAGCTCATCACCGCTCATCACAAACAAGCCAGGTGCCTGCAAAGGGAGAAGTCAGCGGGGTCACCCTGAGCTCTGAAACCCTGCGGGATGGTCCTTCGCATGCCAGCCTCCTCCAGGCCCTTCCTGCTCAGAGCCACGCTCACTAAGGGGAAAAACAAATCCAAGCTGCGTTAGTGCAAGCAGTGCTATAGCCTTATGAGATGTAGTGCCAAGCCAGGGCGCAGGAAGGCTGCTCAGGAACTAATAAGACCTCAGAGAAATCAAACCATTTACCTCTTCTGAGGTTTCAACCTCTTCCTTGCGCCCCGAGGTAGGAGCACGACCACAAGTAGCTCTGCAGCAATAACAAGCGAGGCTGAAAGCAGACAGCACGCTCTGGAAGAGAAAATCAGACATAGAGGCTGACCCTAGGGTGTCTGTCTGCAAAAAGGATCTGCACTGAAAACCAAAACCAAGCACCTCCCCAGTCACTGTCAGCCCTGAGCAGGTATTAAATCGCCTTGGATTACTGAGATGAGCTACAGCTGTCTGCATAAGAATAGTACCAGTGGGTTAATAAATGCTCCTGCAGCATCTGCTGTAGCCCACGGAAATTACCAGCTAATCTTCAGTTAACAGGTCATTTACAGAGGGGTGCGCCAGTTCAACAAGAGGAGACCCCGTGTTTGTGGCATCAGCAGTTGCAGCCACTGCAGCAGTGTCCCCGGACACTTGGGGACACGGGGGCATGCAGAAACATCCCCGGACCCACACAGAAACCAGACCTCCAGCAGCCCCATCGCCACGGGCGAGCGCCCACCGGGCCAAGGTCCGTTGCTCACGGGGGGCAGAGGTCCCAGTAACCCCAGCAGGCTGCGAGCTGGACACTCCCTGGCTCTATTTTTAAGCCTTGCAGCTGGGGAAGATCCACATTGCTACGCTACCGGTGTTGTGGGTCCCGAGCGGTCAGCATCCCACCCCTGGGACCCACCGAGCAGCTCAGCAGTCCCGACAAGGTTTCAAGTCCATCACGGCAGCTGCAGCAGTCACACAGGACCGCTTACCAGCTTCCTACCCTTCTCTTAAACCTCCCACCCCCCTCCAGCGCTCGCCTGCAGCTAGGAGACATCCCCCGTGTTGGGTGTCACCCCAAAGCTTCCCACAGCCCTGGCACAGTGCAGGGAGGCAGGTGGAAAAGTACAGGCAGCACAGCAGGCAGCAGTTGCTGCCTGGTGGGCGGACAGCCGGCTTTCCCTCATAAGTCATTCTCCCCAGCTCCCAAAGCAAACCTTAAAAGAGCCTCCAGCATTCCCTTCAAGAGCGGGAGCATCCCAGCACACCTCCAGCTACCAGGGGATTTTCAGGAACTCATCCTCTGACAAACACTCACCAGCAGGTCTGAGCTGTAAATCAAGTTTCCCAAAGTCCTGCCAGTGATTTCTCAGCTGGGGAGCTGATCAAAGGGGGAAGCAGGCATTCGTAAACCTTCTTGTCACCAAATGATACATTCTCTTAATTTCCAGTTAAATACAGAGCATGAATATTTCTGTCCTCGCCAGCATCACTAATGGTTGGGTCTAATCAAATGCTCCACACATTGCTATTGCCACAGCAGGAGTAATTTATTTGGACATTAAAAACCTCCATAGTTGCTTCAGCCTCTTTCATTTTGGATGTATAGCTGGAGATATTGATTTGTTTACAACAGCCATTAAAAGCTTCGTTACTAGGCTTTTGCTAATAGGAAGATGCACCACAAAGCATGGGTTTTACAGCCTCCCTTTTTTAGTCTGGCCCAACTGGAACAGCCAAGGGAAGGGGCCAGACCCCTTCGCTCAAACCTTGAGTTATTTGGGGACAAAAAAATAAAACCCTACTGGGTTTCCACACACACACACCCCCCCCCCCCCAACAAGTCACTTGGTCCCTTGCGGCTTTTAGAAGAGCCCTGGGCTCCGAGGGTGCTTGAGCTGTGCTTACGAGTAGACGCCAGTCTCCACAAGTTTATTCTTTTGCCATTTTTGGGGTGGCTGGGGTCAGTGCAGAAGCTAGCTGATGGCACAGCAATCCCTTGATCGCTCTGTGTGGGAAGCGGGGGGACTGCTGCCAGGGTTGGCTCCACAGAGAACGCAGCGTCTTTCCCGATTGCTGCTCCCGAGGCATGTACTTGAGATCAAACCACAGCTTTTCCTCCCGCCCCATCCAGTGGCTCAGGCTGGAAGAGCACTTTGCAGTCCGGAAGAACTCGGACGTCAAACTGCAGCAATGTCGCGGTCCCCAGTACCCAAATTCCCCAAGAATGATCCCCAAGAGGGTGACGGCTGCGAATGCTGGCCTGGCAGGGCTGGAAAAGCTTCTCGTCCGGGCAGTGGCACTGGAGAAGCAGCTGCTCTTCCCACCAGCTATGGGGCCAGGATAATGTCGGAGGCAGGCGCAGGTCCAGACCATTTAACTTTCTGCTAACACTCCTACAGCACAGGACACGATACAAAAATAAAACATGCAGCTTTATTTCCCCAATCACGTTTCCTTGCCTGAGACACACAGCTCAGCCCTCAGTCCAGACCAGTTTCCATACTACAGCCAGCAGCACGTCTCCTCTGCCCGCAGCCCGGGCACTGTGCCATAGGAAGGACTGCTGGAATCAGACGCACAAGGCTACAGCTCTGCTGGGAAAAGGAGATTTAAGGAGCAACAGCTTTCCCCAGCAAATCTTCCCTGCTAGTAAGCACAGGGAAACTAAAGCAGTACAGATCACCTGGCCTCATCTGCTGAAAACTGGGGGAAGGTAGGTAAAAAGCTGAGATGGAGACACGGGGGGAACCTTCCTGCCTTCACAGGGTCCTGCACACAAACACAGGCTGCCTTTAGTCAGACCAAAGCAGCAGGGACGGGGTTTAGGAAGAACTGTTAGCTCCTCAGCTACCAGTCTCTCTGCTCCCAGCACTGCAGTGAAAGGAGCTGCAACCTCCTGCCGCTGAGCATCCTTCCTGGGCCAGACTGGGAGAAAAAGTGCTGTGCTGGGAAAGATGGAGGGCTCCAGGGCTGGAGCTAGCGGGGATGCCCTGAGACTTCTGCTAGCCCACTGCTGGGTGCTGCCCAGCCTGAGACTGTAAAGCACAAACCCCCCCTGCCAGCCCTGCGGTGGGCACAGACACCCACAAAGTGCTTCATTAGAGGGCTTCAGGGCACACCGAGGGCTTATAGGACACAGTACAAAACACCGGGAGGGCCATGTCTGAGCCTTGTCGGTTGGGAGCTGAGTAACGGGGCTTTGGGCAACTGTGTCTTGCAGGTGGCAGAAGGCCATTTGGCCTGGGAAAACCCGGAGGAACAAGCTCTTCAAGCCCTGTGCATGGAAATCGTGGGCTCGCTGGACGTCTCTCTGAGAGGGATGACCAAGGTAAGCCACCCTGTGCCCCGCTGCAGCGGCCACTTCTTCCCTTCAGGGCATTTTTCCCCATGCCCTGAACCTCTCCCCGATGTGCGCTGCAGCGCGCGAGGCTCAGGGAAAAGCAAACCATCCTTTCTGTCTGCGAGCGGAGTGGAAGTGCCGCTGTGGTGAATTGCCTGGTCTTTCTCTGCAGCTCCTGTGGCCGAGGCTTCTGGAGTACGTGGTGCCAGCCCAGTACAGCGGCATGCTGATCCCGCTGTCCCGCTGCCTCCGAGCCCTCGTGGAGAGGCAGGAGAGAGTGGGGCACGAGGAAGAAGAGAAGCCCGATGCCGTGAACTCCCCGGAGCAAGATGGGAGCCCTGGTGAGTGCCGCTGGGTTTGGCTGGGGGCCGGTCCGGTCTGTGTCTCCGTGTTCCTCCGCAGCCCTGAGCAGGA